CAGTGCACCATCTTGGGAGACGCGCAATACCGCGCTACTACTCGAACTGCATTCGCGATGTCCGGCCTTGTTTGAGTGGCCGACCACATCAGGGATCCTACCAACTCGCGAAGGGGGACATCAAGACTCGCTTCATTCACGTCAAAGTCGGAGAGCTTTACGGTAACAAGTAGAGGCACATTCTGCCCCCACTCAACGCCCTACTCTGCAGCCAATTCTTCGGCAAACCTCTGTTGTGAAATCTTCAGCAGGCCTCTCTCTACGTCTCTCTCGTAAAAGCACGCGGAGTACCACCTCAACTCTCCACGATTCTTCACGGGGACCATCTCGTTGAGGTCCCTGCCAAAGTTGTCACACATCTCTTTCTGCCCTACAGCAAAAATGTCATCCACGTGGACCACGATGATCATGATCACACGTCCCTCCTCCATCAATCGAAAAACACATGTATCCGCCAGACACTGCAAAAACACTAAAAGTAACAAACACCTCGTCAGGTGCGCATGCCAATGTCGTGATGCCTGCTTCAAACCATGCAGACTCTTGCACAGCTTCACGATCAGGCCAGATAACCTACCACAACCCTGCGGTAAGCGCATGAAAACATCCTCATCAAGCTCAGACTGCACAAATGCCTGCTGAATACCGCACTGGCATAAGTCAAGATTCTGCCCACATGCTAATGTGGCCAACAAGCGCACAGTAGATAATGATACGGTGGGTGCAAACAATTCTCCAAAATCAATCGAAGCCCTCTGCATGTCCCCCCGCGCTTCAAGTCTTGCCTTGAATTTCGTCGGCCACCCGTCCTCGTCTGCCTTACAGTTATAAAGACCCACTTGGCATTGATGGCGTTCTCTATTGGTTGCTACACCGGACTAAAAGTTCCTGCGTCCAACAAACCGAAAAACTCTCGACCGACTGCATCATCCCACAACTCTGAACGTTGAGACCGCATGGCCTCCTTCAACGTTTTTTGGCACTCGGAGGTCGCTGGCGAGGCAATGAGGAAGGTCCGTCATCTTGTCAGGAGGACGCTCGGCGCGAAGAGCAACGTGCACGTCGTTGCGGGTGGCGAACATCGAAGCGAATATGTGCGGCCTTCCCCTCCCCCGGAATCCACGGGACCCCCAGCTCCCACGGCCCCCCCGCTCTCACGGCCTCCAAAGCTCGGATCCTGCAGCGGCGGAGGCGGTGGGTCACAGCGTCCTTGGTCGACGGCATCGCGGGTAGCCAGCGACGAGATGAGGGAGTCCTTGTCCATCATCGTCAACAGACCAAGGCGGTGGTGGAGAGCGGCGCCGCCACCGGACGGCGGTTGTTGTTGCTCATCCATGAACCGCATTCCATCGCCGCACGTGCGGCCGTGAACCCTCGTGTCCTCTCGTCCGAACTCCTTGACGGCTCGTTTCGAAAGCGGCGGGTGCGGAGGAGCGGGGGCGGCGGCGCTGGCGGGCTGCGGCGCTGGCGGCGGCGGCAGGCCCGGGGGCGAACGGGGCGGCGTGGCTGCGGTCGACGGTGGGGCTGATGATGGGGCGTCGGAGATCGGCGACGGCGCTGAGGATCTTGTGAAGATCGGCGGAGAGGCGGGCGGCGGCGGTGCGGTGGTCGCTGGTACAGGCGGGGTGTACGTGTATGTCCTCGATGGTGGCGGCGGCGGTGAGGCATCGGCCGCAGGTACGGCGGCGGCCGGCGAGGGCGCCGCGGTGGCCGAAGAACCCCCCCCGATGCCCGGCACCGGCGCCGGCGCTCCTTCCCGGCGGTTGACCCACACGACATTGTTGATGAGGGCGAGGCGACCGGTGTCAGGGCGAAGAACGACGGCGGTAGACGTCGAGTGGTTGTTGGCGCCGTGCAGGTAGAAGCACCGCGAGGATTGGACGTCCGCCATGGTGGCCCGCTTCACGCGCATCATCCCCTCCTGGAAAAAAGGGACGACGGTGAGGGGCGGCTTCCGGCCGAAGAACGCCTCGAACGGCGACATCCAGCCCAGGTTGGCCTTCGTCGCGGAGCGGTTGGAGCAGGCGGATGCCCACAGCACCGACGCGAGCCACAGGCGATGTCCGTTGACGCCGACGTTGGGGATGGAGGAGAGGTTGACGTGGCCCATGGCGAGGATGTGGTGGCGCGCGGCGTGGCCCCCCTTCATGGCGCGCCATATGGCGCCCTCGACCACCGCGTTTTGCTTGGGGGTGTCGGGGGCGGTGTACTCGGGCCGAATGCCAGCAGCGTCGCAGAACGAGGTGAACGCGGAGCCGGTGAACTCGCCACCGTTGTTGAAGCGGAAACACCCCGAATTGCCCATGCCGTTCATGTCGGCGAGGAACCGCTGCACGAACTTCAGGGTGTCGCTCTTGGCCCGCATCCNTGACGTGGCCCATGGCGAGGATGTGGTGGCGCGCGGCGTGGCCCCCCTTCATGGCGCGCCATATGGCGCCCTCGACCACCGCGTTTTGCTTGGGGGTGTCGGGGGCGGTGTACTCGGGCCGAATGCCAGCAGCGTCGCAGAACGAGGTGAACGCGGAGCCGGTGAACTCGCCGCCGTTGTTGAAGCGGAAACACCCCGAATTGCCCATGCCGTTCATGTCGGCGAGGAACCGCTGCACGAACTTCAGGGTGTCGCTCTTGGCCCGCATCCCGTACCCCCGTTGCCACCGCGATGCGCTGCCCACGAAAATGATCAGGTACCGGGAGCCGTCCAACGCATCAGAGAACGGGCCCGTGAGGTCGATATGGACTTCGCCGAACGGTACCGCCGCGCGGGTGCCACGCCGCGGCACCGGGGCCCGCCTACCCTTTGGTCCTACACAGGTCACACACGGCTGTATCTCCCCCACCAATCGTACGCCCTGCTGCTTGGCCGTTTCACGCATCAAGAATTCGTTGACATGGCCGGTGGAGGCATGGAACAAATTAATGTCGATGGTGGGCGTGGATTTTCCTACCGAAAATGGGGAAGCACCGGGGGCGAT